TAATACCTTAACTTTCACAGCTCACATCTCGATGAATTTTGGAAATACCTTAATAATTTAATAGTTCAAAGAAAATTTAAGATTTATGCTTCCTTTTGACTATTAAATCACTAAGATATCTCCAAAATTCATTGAGATATGAACTATGAAAGTTGAGGTATTAATTTTTTTTAAAATTGCTAATTTCCATTGACGGCAACCAAAATGTTAACATTAAGGTCATCTCATCATAATCCTCAATCATCCAAAGTTCATCCAAAGTTCATTATCATAATAGTATTCTTGAGAAAGCTGATATTACATGATCTCACGGACTCATGGGTCCACAAGATCATGTGAATACAATTCTAGCCTTAGCATTAGTATCGCGTAGTTCTGGAACAGCCCTTGTATTGGGTTTCGGGATTGTTGAGCGAAGAAAGTTCACTACATGAACAAGAAATAAGTAGTCGGGTTGTTAGTTGAGAAGGGTAGTGCTAACGAACGAAAATATGATACGAACGTTCCATGTGATGTATATACTTGCGTCGGGGATAATTGAAAAGGAAATGTAGGGATTTAAAGTTTGATATTTGTTGTAATATGTAATATGTAATGATTAATTAATCAATTGTAATATTACTATTGCTATGATGTAATAAAAATAATTATTTTCTTAAAATTTAGTCTATTGATGAAAGTTTTTTTACAATGAATACAAATCGAAAAGCATCGGTACGACTGGTTATGTGGTTGGATAAATGCCGGCTAGCCAAAGATGCCAGAAATAAATTCAATTAAAGGACATGAAGTCCGCAGAATACATTATGATATTATGAGTAATTTTAGCTAAGTAAATTTAGCTAAGTAAATCGAACTGAAATGATGATATGCTCCCGGAAAATTAGCAAGTGAGATTGCACCAGGTATTATCATAGCAGTAAATGAGCGAGAAGTAGAATGAGCAAGAAGTAGAATGAGCGAGAAGTAGAATGAGCGAGAAGCAGCATCAGCTGGTGGTTTCCTGCTTGCTCGAAGCAGGCTGGCTGTTAAATAGAAAAATGGCAGAATCAGGAGACTACATTGTGTGGCGGGAGAGGTTGGGTCAAGAAATTTGTTTAGCAAAGATTGTTGTGTCAAGGTGGGAAAGGGTATCAAATTACTGTATCTTGTTTTTCAGTTATTTATATATCAATTGTGATCGGTGGCCTTTCTGTTATATTGTTGATTTATGCAATTTAACTGATTGATTCATTTTTTGATCCTGCCCCATCCCTCTGTTCTGTGATTTGAGAGCGGGGTTGTGGCTAGTGATGGGAAAAATGTGTATATTATAATAACATGCGCATGAATGCGCATTAATACGCACGAAATATTTCATGCGCATGATATCGCATGATAAAAAAAAGGTAAAAAAAAAGAAAAAACAATCGAGAGGAGAGAAATCTTGATGGGATAAAATGCACATGAAACAGAATCATGCGTATAAATGCACATTAATGCGCATGAAACCCATCTCTAAACATAACCCTAACATAAACGAACTCTAAAGAAATTTGTCCACATCATGATTGAAAAATATTTGATAGGGAAGATTTGAGATATATCCAAAAATATTGTGAATAAAACCCTTGTTTATCACTACATAAATAAGGTAGCTGTGCAACGAGTTGCACAAACCCAGAAATGGATTTCTAAAAGGTTAATTATAACAGCTTACTGAATGTTAGACGCGTCATTAAATGACAGGCTAGATTAAACCATTGTTTTAAAAAAATTTTTTATAATATAAATCTATTGTAGTGATGGTGAATTGTGGAATTCTTCTATATTCCACAGGATAGAGGTTAAAGTAGACTAGCAGTGTGAATAAAGATGACATTCATGTAAGCTTTGATCAACATTAAACATGAAATTAATAATCATATAGCTAATGCTAGAATGAGAAAGGCAATATTATAAAACCATTCTAACAGTTTTTTAGGGCTAGCATTTAATTTTTATATATTAAAATTTTACGAGAAATTACTTAGCAATTAAAATAGAAATAAACTCATATGATCATAGAGTTTTTTCTTCTTTTGTACTTTATTATATAAGAACAACAATCTTGAATTAAAACTCAGTTAGCCAATAATGACTTGTAAAGCATGATCATAATTGCATGATAACATCGATATTGGATCATGATAAATACGATCACTGCCTAATACATTATGCAAAATTCACTCACCTCTTAAGAGGTGAGTGAATATTTGCATATTTGTATTAGGAGATGACCGAATAAGTTGCACAAAATTCACTTCAGTGCTTACGTCAGACATGTCGGATAACAAAGTTATCAGTTGAGTCGTTAGTAGATGAATAATCAGTTATCATCTACGACTCGACTGATAACTAGTACTTATTTTGTGCTAGACTTTCAGTGAGTAAATTAAACGGATCTTTACAATTATTTAGCTGAAATAACATAATATTATAAAATTCAAACACTATAATATTTTATTGTTTTGTATCCGCTATTATGTATTTCAATATGATACATAAGTTAGACTATTTTCAAATATGAACTGCGCCACAGTCAAACAAAATTTTTAATACTGTATAATATACATTTACTATAGTAAATATTTAAACTTAATTATAAATTTTTATTTTAAAATATTTATATTCAGATTTTGCCATTTATTACTATATTTAATTTTTTAAAAAATATATATTTGTTTTACTTACTATCTTAATTTTATAAAATTTTTTATATATTTTAATTTTCTATATAAATCTTATTGCTTAATTATAAAATAGTCTATAAAATATTTTTAATTAATATAAATAAATATATATTAAAATAAATAATATCTAAAAATATTATTTTAAAATATATAATTTAAAAATATTAATAATTAATATAGCAAAATATAAATTATAATATTTTGTTATCAAAATTTTTAACTAAATTAATTATTAGTTCTTCTAAATTATATCTTTTACAATAAAATTTTTAAATATTTATAATAATATAATTAAAAATATTTACCTTATATATTTTTTAGAATTTAAATCTTATTACTTAATTATAATTTACCATAAATATAAAATATTTTTAACTATATAAATAAATAAATTTTTAAATAAAATAATATTTAAAAATATTATTTTAATATATATAATTTAAAAATTAATAATTAATAAAATAAATTATAAATTAAAATAATTATGACTTAAATTAAAAATATTTACTTATATATTTTTTAAAATTTAAATCTTATCTGTTATTATAATTTAAATTTAAAATATTTTTAATTAATATAAATATATTTAAAAAAAATAATAATATTTTATAATTTAAATTAAAATATTTTACCTTAGTTATTTTTTAAGATTTAAATCTTATTATTTAATTATAACTTAAATTTAAATATTTTTAATTAATATAAATAAATATATAACTAAATATAGTTAAAAAATTAAATTAAAAATATTTACCTTAATTATTGCTTAAAATTTTAATCTTATTACTTTTTTATAACTTAAATCTAAAATATTTTTAATTGATAAAAATATATTTAACTAAAATAATATTTTATAATTTAAATTAAAAATATTTACTGTACCTTAGTTATTTTTTAAAATTTAAATTATATTGCTTAATTGTAACTTAAATTTAAAATATTTTAATTAATACAAATAAAATATATTAAATATAGTTTCAAAAGCTAATAATTAATATAATAAAATATAATTTATAATATTTTTAATATAATTTAAAAATATTTACCTTAATTATTACTCAAAATTTAAATCTTATTACTTAATTATAATTTAAACTTAAAATATTTTTAATTAATATAAATACTGTATATTTAAATAAAATAATAATATTTTATAATTTAAATTAAAAATATTTACCTTAATTATACTTAAAATTTAAATCTTATTGCTTAATTTTAAATTATATTTAATTAATATAAATAAATACATATTTAAATATAGTGTAAAAATTAATAATTAATATAATAAATTATAAATATAATATTTTATAATTTAAATTAAAATTATTTATCTTAATTATTTTTTAAAATTTATATCTTATTGCTTAATTATAATTTAAGCTTAAAATAATTTTATTAATATAAATAAATATATATTTAAATAAAATAACTTAAAAATAATATTTTTATAATATATAAAATAATTTAAATTAAAAACATTTACCTTATATATTTCTTAAAAATTAATTTTATTCTAGTTGTAAATTTTTATTTTTTCATATAAACAATTAAATGATTCAATTTCTAATTGAGATATTTTTATATTTTCAGGTGGATTTTTTAAAAATTTTAAGATTTTATCAAAAGCTTCAAATATTTCTTGAAAAGAAATATTTAAAGAGCCTTCATCATCATGAATTGTTGAATTATCATCATCCTCTTGAATCATCAACAAATCATTATTTAAAGGTTCGAAATTTTGTTTTTTTTGATTACTTTCATTTATCAATGATATTCTTTCCATAATATCATTATCTAGCATTTCTTCATAATCTACATTCTTATCTTGATCAAGATATTCTAAATTTAATTAATATAAATAATTATTAGATTAATTTATATTTATATATATTTATTATAATAATATTTAATAATAAATAATTTCATTTTGATAAATTTAAAATTGTTAATACATAATTATAAAATCAAAATTATAAGAATTTTATATTATATTATTTTAATTTTAAAATAATCAAAATAATATTAAAATTCCAATAATTTTAAAATTTGTAATTAAATTTTAATAATAATAAAATTTTTTTATTAAAACGATTGTTTAATAATAAAAAAATTTTAATAATAAATTATAATTAATTAGTAGAGCTCTTATTAAACTAAATCAAACTTTGGATTATATTTAGATATCTCTGTGACTTTTGATAATAAATGAATGCCTTATATTTATCTTTTTCAACTGCGATTCCCTTTTGATACCAATATCTGATATTAATGTTTCTCATCTCTGTAGATTTCCTAAAATAAATTAATGCTATCCTTTTCAAGTCTGATTCCCTTTTCATATTGATATCAAACATTATATATTTCTTTAGTACCTCCCATCTCTGCAGATTTTTGATGATAAATGAATGCCTTATGTTCATCCATTTTAATTCTAATTCCTTTATCATAATACATTTAACATTCTGATAATAAATTAATGTCTCATGTTCATTCTTTCTAGCCCCAATTTTCCTTTCTATAATGATATCTAATATTACATTTCCTTAGTGCCTCCTATCTCTGTAGATTTTAATAATGAACGAATACTTTATGTTTATCCTTTTCAATTCTAATCCCATGATAACAATATCTAAAATTATTTTCCAGCAACGTCTCACATCTCTGCAGATTTTTATAATAAACAAATGTCTTATGTTCATCCTTTTCAATTTCAATTCCATTACGATAACTATATTCAACACTATATGTTTCACT